TGAATATGGAAGTCTAGTTTGGCAATTATTATCTCTCAGCTTATCAGAGCCATATCACAACTGTGTTCTCAACAAAATAGAGACAACACGCCACTCTGCTACCACAAAAACGACCAAACAATCCCCTCTTCTGACTAATGTAACTCATGCCTTTTTTCTTCTTCACCAATTTGGGCAGTAATCCTCTTGCTTCCTAGGTAAGATTGATTCACTCAGACACTCAATCACTGAAATGCCCCCACTTCTTAACAATATTCAATCCCAAATTAGTCCTCACTCAGAGTTTTAGAGACTAGGAGAAAAGAAACAAAAAACACAATTAGCCCTCACTATTCTAAACTCTAGTTCAGAAATATCCAACAGAAGCTGAAACTCAATAAGAGGTTCCTTTTAACCCCCCTTAAGAAAATGGTCCCATAATTCCTTTGGGGCATTCTCTCCCTTTACAACACAAGCCAAGCAGATTCAACTTTTTTCACTATAGATTTGTTTCCAGTGGTGTTTAGTTGATGAGCTTTGACAAGGATAATGGTCAAATTTCTCCAGTATCAATTGACTGTGTGAAGGGAGGGGTGTGTGTGTGTGTGTGTGTGTGTGTGTGTGTGTGTGTGTGTGTAATCTATACATATTTATATAAGAACATATTGCCGGGCATGGTGGCTCACACTTACAATCCCAGCACTTTGGGAGGCCAAGGTGGGCAGATCACTTGAGGGCAGGAGTTCGAGACCAGCCAGACCAACATGGCAAAACCCTATCTCTACTAAAAATACAAAATTAGCTAAGTATGGTGGCGCATGCCTGTAATCCTAGCTACTCGGTGGCTGAGGCATGAGAATCACTAGAACCTGGGAGGCAGAGGTTGCAGTGAGCTGAGATCACACCACTACATTCTAGCCTGGGTGACAGAGGGAGACCCTGTCTCAAAAGAAAAAAGAACCCAGGTAATTTGTCCTGTACAGTATTTGCAAAGTCTCAATTTGCACCTTTGAGGTATCATTTAATGTCTCCCATATTTCCTGCAAATTAGTAATTAGCTTTAATCAGATTCAGACTGAAGTGTGTTTGTTTGTTTTTAGTAGCATACATAAGTCCAACTTCATGTAAGGTGGACTTATGTATGCTATCTATGATCAGGAAAACACGTTTGGCTCTCTTTTTTGATGAACGACAGCCACTATTTTTGTTTCCATACAGATGGGGTTTTACTATATTGTCCAGGCTGGCTGCGAACCCCTGGACTTAAACAATCCTTCCAACTCAGCCTCCCAAAGTGCTGGGATTACAGGTGTGAGCCACTGTGCCCTGCCACAGCCATTGTGGATCACTGCCTACATACATTAATTCATCTGGAGTTACAAAATGTTAATATTCTAATTATATTATCCCTTCTTCACTTATTTACTGGAATACTTCTACAAAGAGAAATTTCCCCCTCATCTTGAGATACAGTCCACATTAAGAAAACCAGGATAAATACTTCTTTCCAATCACTAGCAGTTTTAAAAATAATGAGTTGATCTGCCAGCATTCTCCAACAATGACCAATGAGTTTGTATTTTTTAAGCGTCATTGTGAATTCATAGATTTAAATATATTTTGTGAATTTCAATCCACTGCATGTAATATCCATTTTGATACTCAAATTGTTTCATCTTTGGTCAATGGAAACTATTCTAAATGGCTCCTGAGTTCTTTGGTTACAACCCTCAGTCTCTGAAAGCTTCCTTGCTTATCTTGGACAATACCTGCCCCAAACCCAAAATCGGCCATTTCTCCAAGGAGTTGTTGGCTGGCTCCTTTCAACAAGAAATGGTATTTGCACAGCACAATGGAATACTAGAGGTGTTTATTTTTACTCGGTCATTATTTCCAAGCCTTTTCAGGGAAAAGCTAGGAAATTTTTAAGGATAAAATACACCATGAGTTCAGAGTTATATCTGCAATTTAAATTCAGAATTACAGAGTTTTATCTTAACTTCATCAATCATAAATACGTATCTCTTTATTTCACAGTAAAAATTCTGGTTCTCAGAGATACCAACATTATTTTTTTTTTGACACCAACATTTTTTTTTTAATATTTTCTTTTCTTTTTTTTTTCTTTCTGACACCAACATTATTAATCCTTTGTTTTATCTCATGATATACCTAAAATAATCTCAGAATAACAACACCAACACTATCACCATAATATGACTATTTTAAAATATTCTGCATTTTTTTTGGCATTATAGTACATCCCACTTGGGCTGTCAAAATCAAATTATTATGTTTAAAGTCACTTGAATGGTTTGGTTAAAAGCACTTTACATTTCTGAAATGAAACTGCTTGTGATATGGTCTCTAATGGTTGAGAGAAAAAAACGTATTTGTCATACATATACCTGAGAGTAGTGCTATGTGGGCCTCTAGATTCTGTATTCAAATAGAGCCAACTGGTAAAGATGCCTTAGTGACTGTGATAGTGAATACTGAGTGTCAACTTGACTGGATTGGAGGATACAAAGCATTGATCCTGAGTGTGCCCATGAGGGTGTTGCCAAGAGATCAACATTTGAGTCAGTGGGTAGAAAAGGGAGATACACCCTTAACCTGGGTGAGCAGAATCTAAGATGCTGCCAGCACAGCTAGAATACAAAGCAGGCAGAAAAATGTGAAAGGAGATACTGGCCTGGCCTCCCAGCCTACATCTTGCTCCCGTGCTGGACGCTTCCTGCCCTCAAACATCAGACTCCATGTTCTTCTGTTTTGAGACTGAGACTGGCTCTCCTTGCTCCTCAAGCTTGCAGACAGCCAACTGTGGGACCTTCAGATCATGTAAGTTAATACTTAATAAACTCCCCTTTATATATATCTATATCTAGCTATCTCGATGTAGATATATCTATATATCTATAGCCAACTATCTAGATAGATAGATGATAGATGATAGGTATGTAGGCAGATAGATAGAGATACAGACATGGAGATAGAGAGACAGAGATGGATCCTATTAGTTCTGTCCCTCTATTGAGCCCTAATACAGTGACACTATTTGGAATTGGTCCTTTTTACATTTCATTTGGCAAGTACTAAAAGATTGATGATCTCAGATATGCCTATGGCTGCAAAAACATGACACAGCTAAATCCCTTGGTTGCAATATCTTATTATTTTTTTTTAAGGCAGGGGGCCTCACTCTGTTGCCCAGGCTGGAATGCAGTGGTGCTACCATAGCTCACTGCATCCTCAAACTCTTGGGCTCAAGCAGCCCTCCTGCCTCAGCCTCCCAACGTGTTGGGATTTTGCAATATTTTAAAGTCACAAGATTATGTTATTCTACAAAAGTATGTTTCAGAGACTAGGCATGGTGGTTTACATGTGTAATCCCATCACTCTGGGAGGCCAAGATGGAAGGATTGATTGAGGTCAGGAGTTCAAGACCAGCCTGGTCAACATAGTGAGATAGAAAAGACACAAAAGAAAGAGAGGAAGGAAGGGGGGAAGGGAGGGAGGGAAACTCTACAGAAAGAAAATCTTTTTGAATCTTTTTCTGTTTCTCCAATTCTTCCTCCCCTTCTAAAAATTCTATTTCCATTTTTTCTTCACCTCTTTGCCTTTGTCAGTCTTCTCTCCTAGCAACTCAGGAGCTTTTATTTTTTGTGTATTGATGAGGGAGAGGGAAGAGGAACTGCCGTACAAACTGAAGTAGTGAAAATGGAGTAGGTAGGATAGACAGCTGCAACGGTCTGAGCTAGATAGACTGAACAAGCCCTCATCCTAAGCAACTCACAGCTCAGATTTCTTCTCTGGACAGCTGGTTCTTTTTGTCCTCCTGAAATACTCTGCAAAGATCGGGGAGGGGCTGTGAACTACCTCTGCTATGGATCTTATTTAAAGTCAGCTACCTCCTAGATACTATCTGTAGAAACTAAATTTAATATTCATCGTATCAGGGATGAAGATGGTAAATGAAAGGTATCCATTTGCCCACCGTAATTTTTAAAGGCCAGGAGCTCATCATTATTGAGAATGCTGGAGGGCTGCCTGGAGTAGGCGGTGACTAGAGTCACACAAGCTGGAACTGGATATCCAACTTGTGTCATATTTTTCTCTTCCTTCCCCAACTTGGCACCCAATACTCCATATTCTTTCTAATTCTCCTACCCTTCCCGCTCCCACACCCTACCCCCACCAACGTTCCTGGAATTTTGGACTTAGCTATTTTTAAAACCGTCAACTCAGTAGCCACCTCCCACCCTGCTCAGCTGTCCAGCACTCTGGCCAGCCATATACTCCCCCTTCCCCCAACACCAAACCTTCTCTGGCTCCCTGACCTCAGTGAGACAGCAGCCGGCCTGGGGACCTGGGGGAGACATGGAAAAAGAGACAGAGGACCCCCCGGCTGGAGCTGACCCACAGAGTAGGCAATCACGGCTGGAGAACTGGATAGCAGCGTAATGTTTGACCTCTGGAAACAGTAAGTCAAAATGAAATTGCAATTCCGTTAATAAGCTTTTATATTGAAGTTAGACTGTTATAAAATTACAAACACCTACTAGGATGTCCCTTGTCCAAATGCTGGGATCTCTTCCTACCAAGGTGCGCCAATCACCATTTCTCCTTCTGTCTCATTTCCTCTGGCCTCTGGCCTCTAGCCATTTGAAGTTTAATTCTCTGTCTCTCCTCTGGCAGTCTTAGCCCTCTCTTTACCTTATTACCTCAAGACTTCTGATGAAGTTTTAGGAGTTCCCCACACCCTCGATTCTGTAGTTTTCTTACCAGGGCCAAGTATGACCTCGGATGATGAGTCACTGACACACTTCTATCATGTCCCCACTTAGCAATGCCCTCTGCATTGAGATTCCAAGGGTGGGGGCTGCTCCTTGTAAATGATTTCTCCCTACAACCCTGATCCCTCCATTCTATTCTCCCTCTTGCAGGACTGTTCCCCCAATCATATCCTTACCCACAGGACAGGCGAGTTAGGCAGAAGGGATTCAGCTCCTCCCTAACCCCTGTTCTCATCAAAAGACCCAGAACTTCAGAATTTGAAAAGGAGAGATTAATAGAGAGATTCTTCAGTGAAATTTGGGAAAATACAAGAACGGCTGACTTAGAAAAAAACAAATATTAATTTGCGTGTTTGGTTTGCATCCCATTATTCCATGAGAGAGGGAGATTAAAATTGCAGCTCTCTAGAGGTGATGAAAGAGATTGGTTCCTTTTCATTTTAATATTGATGTTCTGGAGGGGATGGGTATGCCACCCTTACTCCTTGTGTTCTTCTGACACAAAGATGAAAAAGAAACGTATGGCTCCTGGAAGGCATCTCCTCCCAATGGAGAAGGACAAATAAGAAGTATATTTCTGAAGTATTTTCAGGTCCTAATTTTATTAGCGTACCCACTGGGATTACTGGTGTCTGATCTATCCCCATGATTCCTCCATCTTTGACATACCTGCTGTTTGGTAGCTCAGGATGGAGCAACACAGTGGACTCTGCCCCCCTGAGTTCACTCAACCTTCCCTCCACCCCCACCTAGGGCTATTGCACAAGGGCCCTAAAAGTGGCCACAGAACAGGGCAAAGAGGCTTAGCTGCCACACTTGCAGTTTGAGGAGGCCCAATCTCCCAAATTCCAGTCTGCTCATCCTTTTCTTTATCTCCCCAGATTCGCTTCACATTGTCCTGACCAATCTTCAACTCTTCTCTCTCTCCATGTCCAGCCAAATTTCTTTTTTCAGTCACAGGACTTCCGGTCAAAATTCACTAGGTAGGAGGGTCATCAGCTGGGAAGAACCGGGCGCCTGGGGAACCTGGCTGGATAGTTATGGGGGAGTCAGGCCAATCCCCTAGCGCCGGGTCCCCCCATGGCAGTCCCCCAACTCTAAGCACTCTCACTCTCCTGCTGCTCCTCTGTGGACATGGTAAGGAAGGGCCAGGGAAGGGTTTGGGGAAATCTAGAGGGTAGGCTGCCATGTAAGGGTGGGCATGTGAGCATGGGTGAGTGAGGAGACATGGGCGCTGAGAGTCCGGTCACTCACCCTGCTCTCAAATAGGTATATTTTATTTTATGTCCCCTTCAGTTTGGGGAAGGGCACTGGGGAAGCCCTTGGTCGACAGGCAGAAGAGATTCCCTTTTCTTCCTACACATTTTTAGTAAGATAGCCGAGAGAACTAGGGATTGGGGGTTGGGGGCTGGGGAAGGCCCTTAGTTGGGTTTTAGGAAGGCTGGAATTCCCTGATGAGATTTGGAAGAGTTATGAGCAAACCACACTCCAAAAGAGCAGAGGTCTGAGGACCGTCTCACAATCCTCTCCCTTCTGTCTTTAGCCCACTCTCAATGCAAGATCCTCCGATGCAATGCTGAGTATGTGTCGTCCACTCTGAGCCTTAGAGGCGGGGGTGCATCAGGAGGAGGAGGCCGGGGTGGAGGGGTGGGCTCTGGCGGCCTCTGTCGAGCCCTCCGCTCCTACGCGCTCTGCACTCGGCGCACCGCCCGCACCTGCCGCGGGGACCTCGCCTTCCACTCGGCGGTACACGGCATCGAAGACCTGATGATCCAGCACAACTGCTCGCGCCAGGGCCCTACCGCCCCTCCCCCGCCGCGGGGCCCCGCCCTTCCAGGCGCCGGCCCCGGCCTCCCCGCCCCGGACCCCTGTGACTACGAAGGCCGGTTTTCCCGGCTGCACGGTCGTCCCCCGGGGTTCCTGCACTGTGCTTCCTTCGGGGACCCCCATGTGCGCAGCTTCCACCACCACTTTCACACATGCCGTGTCCAAGGAGCTTGGCCTCTACTGGATAACGACTTCCTCTTTGTCCAAGCCACCAGCTCCCCCGTGGCGCTGGGGGCCAACGCCACCGCCATTCGGAAGGTCAGGCACTCACTCTTCCCACTGCTCCACCTCCTGAGATTCTTCGTGGGGCACCGCTTCCTCCCCATCCCCACTATTCAACAGCGGTGCTCCCTAATTCCCTTTTCTTCCTCAACCACTCCCCCATCTTGAACCATTCCCTTCTACCAAACACTTGGAGCTGTAAATCATTTCCCCTTGATGGGAATTTCACTCAAATGCAGAAAACAGTCGGAGAGCGCAGACCCGAGGAGTTTCAGAAGGGAAACTTTACCCTCTCCTAGGAAGTTGCCCAGATTAAGTGGAGAGAGGTTAAGTAGGGATCAGGCAATACTGGAACATAAATAGGAAAAGGGATCAAAGACTGAGGGCCATAGTAGTCCTGCATCTCTACTTGGATCAGATCCCTAACTGTGCATGAGGTCTGACTGGGCGGAAGATGCACTGAACCCAAATGAACTGTTTTCCCTCTTGCCCTCACAGCTCACCATCATATTCAAGAACATGCAGGAATGCATTGATCAAAAGGTCTACCAGGCAGAGGTGGATAACCTTCCTGCAGCCTTTGAAGACGGTTCTATCAATGGAGGTGACCGACCTGGGGGATCCAGTTTGTCGATTCACACTGCTAACCCTGGGAACCACGTGGAGATCCAAGCTGCCTATATTGGCACAACTATAATCATTCGGCAGACAGCTGGGCAGCTCTCCTTCTCCATCAAGGTAGCAGAGGATGTGGCCACGGCCTTCTCAGCTGAACAGGACCTGCAGCTCTGTGTTGGGGGGTGCCCTCCAAGTCAGCGACTCTCTCGATCAGAGCGCAATCGTCGGGGAGCTATAACCATTGATACTGCCAGACGGCTCTGCAAGGAAGGGCTTCCAGTGGAAGACGCGTACTTCCATTCCTGTGTCTTTGATGTTTTAATTTCTGGGGATCCCAACTTTACCGTGGCAGCTCAGGCAGCGCTGGAGGACGCCCGAGCCTTCCTGCCAGACTTAGAGAAGCTGCATCTCTTCCCCTCAGATGCTGGGGTTCCTCTTTCCTCGGCCACCCTCCTAGCCCCACTCCTTTCTGGGCTCCTTGTTCTGTGGCTTTGCATTCAATAAAGAGGCCATCAGTCCTATTACTAGTTTGAAAATGACTTGGGGATAGAGACTGGCAGAGAAGAATGTAAAGAATCATTAAAGGAAGCAGGGCGTAGGAGACCCTGCTTGATATTATCCATGAAACAATGATATTATCCAGTCAGATGAGGCTGCAGTCCAGGGTTGAAATGATCACAGAGTAAGGATTCTGGGCAAGGTTTCTGCATTCCAGACCTCTGTGGGGTTCTTCACTAATTTTTCCAGCCTCATTTATAGTAAATTGTTCTAAGCCATTTACTGCAGGTATCATCCTTTTAAGCTTAGATGTCATGAAAGTTTTAACTATCAGTAAAGATTTAAGGGCCGAGAGTTTTCAGAGGCAAGAGCTGAAAGCAGAAGACATGATCATTATCCACAAGAAACTCAAAAAAGAAATAATTAGGGAAAGAAGTCTATTTGATGAATATATGTGGGTAAGGTATGTTCTGCTTTCTTGGTTCAGAAATGAAGTGGGTGTTGTCTAGAACTTTGGTGAAGGGAGTCTCTGCTTTTGAAGAATGGCACAGGCAGGACAGAAGTATCATCCCTACCCCCTAACTAATCTATTATTAAAGCTATGAATTCTTCACATGGTCCTCTGTTGCCTATGTAGAATCTCTTTACAGATGCTTGAAATGGAATAAATGCAATGTGTTCACTCCATTGAAAGAGGGCTTGGAAGTTACCAGATACTGTTTCTATCTCAGGGAGTTTATAGGCTGTTGGAGGGACAAAACCAATTCACTTGAAAGAGTGATGAGTGTGTAATTATTCACTAAATCCTACGGTATGGTGCGTTCAGATGGGAAGATGGTAGATGAGAACTAAAGTAGTAAGAATAATAAAAGGTGACAGAGAAGATGGGATCTTCCAGGCAACGAAAACCATCTGGAGTTAGGCATAGATTCATGATTCCTTGAGGAAATCAGCAAAACTCAAACGCAGCAGACAAGGAGTAATGGGACAGAAGGTTAGATGGGCAGAGGCCAGATTATGAAGTGCCTTAAAAAGGGGGCAAGGGGCTTAAATTTGGTTAATAGCTAACACTTACTGGAGCTTAAAATCTGCCAGGCAATGTTTTCAATGCTTTGTTATTGCTGTTGTTGTTTGAGACGGGGTCTCACTCTGACACCCAGGTTGGGGTGCAATGGTGTAGTCTCAGCTCACTGCAACCTCTGCCTCCCAGGTTCAAGTGATTCTCCAGCCTCAGCCTTCCGAGTAGCTAGGGCTACACACACATGCCACCACACATGGCTGATTTTGTATTTTTAGTAGAGACGGGGTTTAACTATGTTGGCCAGGCTGGTCTCCAACTCCTGCCTTCATGATCCACCTGTCTCGGCCTACCCAAATGCTGGCGTGAGCCACCATGCCCGGCCTGTTTTAAGCACTTTTAAAATACTGATTTAATTCTCATATCTCTCTAAGGAAGGTGGTATTGTTATCCCATAGAAGGAAACTTGCCTTCAGTCACACAGTTAACAAATGGCAGAGCCGGAAACTGAACCTATGCCGTTTGGATCCAGAAACTCAATTTTTAATCACTATACTATATTGTTAAGGAAGTAGAGAGCCATTAAGAATTCTGGTTATGGAGCTGGTAAAGATTCTCAAAGGGGACCTGTGGTGGTGGACATCACCAGAAAAGCTACTCTGAGGATGGGCACAGTGGCTGACACCTGTAATCCCAGCACTTTGGGAGGCCAAGGTGGACAGATCACTTGAGGCCAGGAGTTTGAGACCAGCCTGGGCAACATGGCAAGACCCCATCTCTACTAAAAATACAAGAAATTAGCCAGGCATGATGGTGCATGCCTGTAATCCTGTAA